ATGAACAGGAAACTGAGGCTACAATTCACACATGCTCACCAAAATTTGACAATAGAAGATTGGATAAATGTTGCCTGGTCTGATGAGTCTCAATTTCTGCTGCAACATTCAAAAGGAATTTGACGTCAACAACATGAAAGTATGGATCCATCCTGCCTTGTATCAACGGTTCAGGTTGGTGGTGGTGTAATGGTGTGGGGGATATGGCCGGTGAGTGTATATAATATATATATATATATATATATATATATATATATATATATATATATATATATATATATATATATATATATAAACACATTTGTACATATTTGCATTTTAACTGTTGAAAAAAATAACAACCTAAAACAGCCTTTTTCCAATATTTAAAAATATGTTTGACACGGATGGGCTCACTCACAAATGCACAGATCACCAAAAAACACGTTTTTATTTACAAAAAGCACTTACAACAGGAACTGAAATATCAAACACAGATAGGACATGGCAATGTAACAATACTAGACAAAGAGCAAAAGTCAAATTTGGGTATAAATAGACTATAAATAGACAAGACATGATTAAACTAAATACATACAGGGGTGTGACGCAGGTGAAACTACTGAAACTAACGAATGGCGGGAAAACTGAACAAAGGAATCACATGACTGAAACAAAAGCACATGGAACAAATACACAGGACGTTACATTACATTACAACCACATGAACACAACACAGAGACATGACAATGTTTTTATATATATTTCATTCATTAATTAATTTTTCTTCAGCTTAGTTGATTTATTCATCAGAGGTCGCCACAGCGGAATGAACCGCAAACTTTTCCAGCATATCTTTTTACATAGCGGATGCCCTTCCAGCTGCAACCCAGCACTGGGAAACACCCTCACTCTCACATTCACACACACATACACCACAGCCAATTTAGTTTATTTAACTCACCTATAGTGAATGTTGGACTGAGGGGGAAACCCACGCGAACATGGGGAGAACATGCAAACCCCTCACAGAAATGCCAACTGACCCAATCTGGACTTGAACCAGTGACCTTCTTGCAGTTAGGCAACAGTGCTACCCATTGAGCCACTGTGCTTTTTTATTAGTGTGTTTAATAATTAATAAACTTGGATTTGAAACTAAACTGCTACATTTGGATTTTACTTTAATTTAAGAATCTTTGCGGTCTAAAGCTCCTTTTAAGCGTGTAGTTTAACCTGGACATTTGAACTTGAAGACATTCACAATGCAAAAAGCCTTGGACGAGTTGTTTAAGATTCCAGGCTAAAATTGTTTACCTCCTCTGACTTTTCCCTCTGTGAGTGAGATCAACATGCTGGCCCACTGTTGATGAATCTTCTTTTGTGCTTCGACACTTGGTGCCTTTCACTACCTAGGGTGATAAAAAGCATGGCCGGGAGAAATTGAATTCAGATGTTTTCATTTCACCAGGCTAATGCTGAAAGAGCGTTTCTGAGAGGAAACCGCTGTGCTCAGTTCAGATTCTGTGTTGTTTCACTTTCTCTGTGTGATTTAATAAACACACTAGATTTGCCACAGAACTCTTCTGATTTTATGCTTCAGTATTTTGAACTCATCATCAGTACTGTGACCACTCTGGAAAATTATTGCAAGTTGTTTTATTAGCATTCTACAACACTGACATCTTTAAAAAAAATAAATAACAAAATAAAAAAACATCCAATTAACTCCGTATGATTTCTATAATTCAAGACACTGATAAATAAATAACACATTAATCACCATGCGACAACTTCAGTACTCACTTTGGACACAAATAGCGTGGAAACAACAAACATTACAGCATAATGAGACATTCAACTGTTCACTCAAAAGTACAAGCACTCATATATTAAAGTATACAGGCTACAAAATAAATACAATTTGTAAAACACACTCTTGCTTCATTAAACCTCTCAAAACAAGTAACAATGCTGAATTGCCAGATGATGAGCTTACTTCCATAAGACGAGGGACGTTAATTGAAGGGTTTATAACTGTATTGCAAAGCAGCTACGCTGCCAAACCGGTCATGTCTGACGTCTTTTTGTTCATAATAATGAGTTCTGTCAAATACAGAAGTGCAATAGATTTAGAGACAGGTGGACACCTTTTACATTTCATGTTTTAAATAGTTTTTTGGGTAAACATGAACTAGACCAGGGTTCAGCACATTGTTCGGCTCATTTTTTTTAAAGGGACTATAAACTATCTATGTTTTTTTATTTGACACTGTTTTATACTGTATTTATTGCTCTTTAAATTTGCATGGCAGATTGTAGACTCAGAAGTAAATGCTGACAGCTCTGGTTGCTCACAGTTTTGCATATTAGCATGGCTAAAGAGGCAGTGAAGCAGTAGCAGGTATCAATCTTCTGTGGAGGCGTGGCTTACCCACATTATTACATCATAGAGTGGAACATTACAAAACCGGTCATGTTGTCAAATTGCCCTTAATAACAACTGTTTTAACAGTAACAAGAAAGTTTTGATTTCTGAAACTTCCAGTATGTTTTTATAGTACTTTGACATTTTATTTGGTATAAAATCATGGAAATTTTGGTTTTGCAGTTCATGATCTCTTTAAAGTACACTATGATGATTCTGAAGCCTGATTTATACTTCTGCGTCAAGCACACGCGTATGGTCTAGCGCAGCCTTTGCATGGTTGCATAGCCCTCACAGTGGCTGACGCCGACGCTGAAGTGCACCCCTCAAAAAACTAAACGACGCTGGTGCAAGCACTGTGATTGGTCGGCTTGGTATCGGTGATGAGTGTGGGCGGTGCTGAGAGTCGTGAGCCCAACGAAGTAAGTGTTTACTAGTCTCGAGTCCCGTAAAAGAGAGATAGGAAGAAACTTTTGTTTTTTGTTTACCTTATGATTACAGTTGTTGCATGTCTGCCGGTTCCCGTGCCTGAATGAGTGGGTTTTAGCTAATTGTAGCAATCAGTATAAAATAAAACCCAAAATACCCATGAAGACACTTGACACATAGAAACATAAAATCCCACTGCAACAGAGCAACACAAACAGCACGCAAAATTACAAATGCATGAGTATGCGCAAAGCAGGACCCGTCGATCCCACAGATCACTTGACACAGTAGTATAAATCTGCCTTGAAGGTGCTTTCACACTTGGTTCAATGCCTGGTCCCAACAAGTTCGATTGTCCCCCCCTTGCCACCTTCTCGATTGGTTTGTGTTCACACTGTATTTTTTTCTTCTGAAGCCCGGCAAAGACCTACTCTAGTGCGATTTGGGAAACAGACACTAGATGCTGACACTGTGAATAGTAAATAAACTATTTAAAGTGCTGATGATTGTGATAGTAAGTGTTGTATTGTCATCTTTCCGGTTGTAAATAATAAATAAAAACAAAGCAGCTTTTTACCATCGCGACAGCAATAAGATCCAATGGACAGCTGATCGATTTCCCTCCAAAATGACTGTTGCTGTTAGCTGCTGTTGCAATGGAACGCTCTATTTTTAAGCTCTTTGACCCCGGTGCGCAGCATCAAGGTGCTTTTGTGTGTGCAGCTGTTGCCAGGTAACAGCCACGGAAGCTACTGCGCCAAAATGCACAGACGATACGTTTGCGGTTGTTCTGCTTTTACTACATCTTTTGGTTTTGGTAACATACAGGGAGCCACTTGCATATATCTGCCACAAAAAAATATTAAAAACAATCAAAATGTTAAGCACTGTTTGCAGAAGCTGTTTTTGGAGGAGACAAAGTAGATATTATCACTGTGTTTGCACTAGGTCAGTCCCGCTTGTCGCCAAGGTAACATTAGATGATGGCTATACTCCCAATCATGAGGTGTGGGGGGGGGATTCTCCATACCACCACCAGTGTGCAGCATCCACTTGGATGAAGAATTGGCAACCACAGGACAGCGGTGTCAGTGTGCTCACTACACACCAGCTATAGGTGGAGTGGAGCGACAGTAATAAAGCCAATTAATCGGATGGGGATGATTGGGAGGCAATGAAGGGAATTGGGCCAGGCCAACGGGTTACACCCCTACTCTTTACAAGAAGTGCCATGGGATTTTTAATGACCACAGAGAGTCAGGACCTCGGTTTAACATCTCATCCGAAAGATGGTGCTCACTGACAGCACAGTGTGCCCTTCACTTTACTGGGGCATTAGTACTCACACAGACCGCAGGTTGAGCACCCCCTGCTGCCCTCACTAACACCACTTCTGGTCTCCCATCCAGGTACTGACCAGACTCAGCCCTGCTAAACTTTAGTGAGAAACTGGTCTTGGGCTGCAGGGTGATATGGCTGTAGTGTATGAACTTTATGAAAACTAAAGTTGGCGGTTCACTTCCATTATTTGCTCTGATTGCATTCATATCAGAAGTGAACCGAACCATAGAACCAAAACGTACCCCAGACCACCACTTTCAGATGGACTCGGGTAGCGTTCACAGGTGCACACCCGGATTCAGAAGACATCATCCACACTAGTAGCTAAACGTACTGAACTCTGATGTCAAAAAAACCTGGGAGCCAACCAAAAGTGCGAGTGTGAAGCACCCTTAAATAAGAGTCAGTATGTTAACCTCTAAAATTTTTTACCAAACATGTTTTTGTGTCTAATTTTAAAACTGAAAGTTATTGCGAAGTCATTATAATGCATTACATTTTAAAAAACGCTACATCTTGAGTGACACTAGCGTGCAATCGTCAATATGGTGAGAAGAGAGCTCTAATACATTTGGAAATCATGGCTGATAGAGGACTGTACTGAAATATATTGCCAAAATGGTCTCTTTTATGTTCATGTAAGGTTATGATGCCATACTGAGCCATTTACGGATTCGCCAAGACTGCAGATCACCACAACATAAAGAAACACAAACAACATACAAAAACACCATACATTCTAACATATGCAATCCAATAGAGGTAACAACTGCTGGATTTATGCTTCAGTAAGACAACATTTTAGTCTACTCGATGATGACGGTTAGGGTTTACATGTATTTAGTTAGACTAGTCATTGTTTACAAAGGACACACTCGACTATCTGATAAAGGGAGCTGCTTTGGACCTCCATTCCCGCTCTGCTCTGGCTCCTCCTCTTCTTCCTCGCTCTTCTCCATGTTGCACATAGACATGGGCACGCGAGCAGCGATTGTAGACATTTCTCCGAGGTGAGTGTCTGCTGTGGCTGTGATCGGCCCTTTGTCTGATGTCTGGTTCAGATTGGTGGATTCCAGGGCCGTGCCGTTTCCTTTAAACATCTGGATCAAGCACTTCCTGAACTAAAGAGAAAGAGTGTTAGATTGAAAGTAAATAAGGATCAGAGGTCATGTTTGATATCAATATGAGTTTTTGTTGATCTGATAACAGGGATGTATATACTTCTTGAGCTTGTCCATTTATGACCATTTGCAGAAACACATTTGACTGATTCACCTTTGTTGTATAAATGCTTATGTGATTGAAAGAGTTCAAACAGACCTACTGACCTGGATATTAATGTTAGATTATGTTTAAAACATGTATGAAGATATGCTTTTGTTGACCCTATCAGAAGTGGACAATGGTAAATACAAATGTACAGGTTTTAAGCTTGACCACTTCCAACCGTTTCCAGAGGAAGCTTGAATGAACGTTTGATTTGATTCACTTGTGTAGTATAAATGCTCATGTAATTCAGTGCTTTTCAAACAGCTCCTGATTAAATTCTTCAATTTAGGCCCAGCTAACATCTTGCATAAAGGTGGATTTCCATTAATCCGATCATCTGTGGATGAAACAAAATTTGAGTGTAAACTGTCAAAAATATTTTGAGCTGATCCACTTTATAACTTAATAATTTCTTCAAACTGTATCGTGTTATCCCTCAAACTGCCACAAAAGCAACCCAGGCACATTCTATATACATTTCTGAAGAGAGCAAAATACATCCCAGGAGCTATGTTTTTTTTTTCTTCTGTTTTTGTTAATCCGCTATAGGCTGCTTTTTCAAATCTCAAATTTCACTCAAAAGTGCCATTTGCGCCTGCTGTTCCTGCGTAAATCCACCAAAGGCCACTGTTGACGGACTGATTTACTGACTGACCAACTGACCAATTCTTCCCCCTTCCCTAAACCCAACCGATAGTGTTTTAAACAGCACACATTGGCCATGCCCAGCCCCTTCCCTAAACCCAACCAATAATGTTTTAAAAAGCACAGATTCAAAAATTTCACTGATTTCAAAAGCAATCCAGAAAAAGTTACATACTTTTTTTGTTTATTTTAGTTTTTGGCTTTTGTTTTTGTCTTCTGCACCGTTTTCACCAGATTCCAACCCTGTTGTCACAGTCAGCTCCACTCTGCATCTCGAGTATGTGTCGAGCTACCGCACAAACTGGTAACAGAGGATAAGCCATCCACATGGAGGCAAGCGGTCAGCTGTTAAGCAAGTAAAGTAACAGCGTCATACCGCCCAATATCGTTCATTTTAAAGCAGAAATACAGTCATAGGGACTTGTGGCTACATAATTCGCAATCTCCAGAAATGTATATAGGGCTACATTTTCAGAATGAGCCTATGTTCCAACAAAAACTACCAGCTATCAGCCTTATAATCTATTTTTTAAACATGTTTGAAGTGTTGCAACCATAAGAGATATATTTGTTGCAATGAAAAATTGTACATTTGACCTGGAAAATTCAAAAGCACCATTGTTCTTCCAAAAATCCTGACTTTTATCACAAACAATTGGAGTAGTTTTGCAGGTATCAGCACAAAAAGGAAAGCTGCATCTGTCTGTATAATTTTCAAACAATCTGTCATCTCTTAAAAATAGCATAGTGTGCTGTTATTAACTTTTGGTACATTCTAAAGTATGGTTGAAAGGAATGATTCAACCAAAATAGAAAATTACCCCATATTTTACTTGCAATCAAGCCATCATCGTGTATCCAAATTATCAGTCAAGCACAGTCAGAGTAGTTTTTAAAATTGGTGCACATTCATAGTGGAAACTAAGGTCAAATCCTCTAGCATTTTAACCTCTCATTTTCCACTTTCAATCAGTTACTGGCATTCAGTTATCCTTGTTTGTCTTCTCTGACCAGAGCTTCCACTATGAATACATCTTACGTCAAAGGTATCGCAAAAAAAAGGTCGCAAAAAAAAGATGTTGAGATTCAGCATTTGTCAGCCACTAAATATCAGTGATTTGAGATTATAATTACATAATGTAATATATTTTTTACATACAATACATGTGTTGTTAATCCTTGACTCTGGATGGATTAGTTTTATGAAGAATTCATGCTATTTTAAAAGCTTCAATAAAAGAGCCACTAACCAGCACCATTATACAGCATGGAGGAGCCAAGACACAATTTAGTAGGGCTTTCACAACTAGATGTTTCAGAACCTGGTGCATTTGCCCCCTTGCCTCGATTCATTTGGGCATATGTGAACAGTGTTGGGAAGGTTACTTTGGAAATGTAATAGATTACAGATTACAAATTACTCTATTTAAAATGTAACAAGTTACAGTAATTTTCGATTACTTTATAAAAGTTAAGTAACTAATTACATCTGATTACTTTTTGATTACTTTTAATTGCTAATGGATATTATCAACTAAATCATTTTCAAGCATTAATACCAAGTAGGTGTGAGCTTACAGTACCTCTAATTACAGTTAGAATCTCAAAATCTTTCATCACTTTAATTAAGATTATATTAATTTAATTGTAAAGTACAGCCACCACACAACCAGACCTTATTACAAAAAAGTGTTTACTGTTGTTACAAAACCAAGATGTTAGCTAGTTGTGCAGGTGATTTTTGTGGCATTTACAATAAAAATTACATCCAAGCCATTTTTGCAATTTTCATTTTTAAATCGAAGCAATTTAAATACAAGTTAATAATATCTTACTGACCAATAATAAAACAATTTAGTGGCCAATGAAACATATGAGGTAAAACTGTTCATTTCCATTATTTACTGTAAATAATATGTTGTACCAAACAGGAATAAATTATAGCACATAACAGCAAAAAACAAAAAAAAAACATCAAATAAAACCAGGTGCTACACATTTAAAACAATATTGATCTGTGATCGGTAAATGAAGCTTGTGTGTGGATTACTGTGCTACTTCACTAATAAAAAAGCTTTGCAACTGTGAAAGCTATTTAATTTTTAAAGTAAATTGAATTCAATGACAAAGCAATTTTTGCAAAAGAATTGTCATTATCCCTTCAATAAAAGCACAACACCCTTACCTGACACTGTACATCTGACTGACCCTGCTCTGCCTGTTCCTCAATCATTTCTTTCTCCTTCTCCTGTGATTGATATTGTGACATTAGTATTTTCATTAAAAAACTCATTCTTAAAGCCAAATTGCCTTAATATATGAACTTTTTGTAATTGTGCGTGTATATATATATATATATATATATATATATATATATATATATATATATATATATATATATATATATATATATATATGTATATCCATTGAGTGGCAGTTCTGTGGGTGCGAATGCCTTGTTGATGCCCGAAGGGAATGGCCAGACTGGCTCAAGCAGACAGAAAGGCAACAGTAACTCAAATAACCACTCGTTACAATCAAGGTATACAGAAGAACATCTCTGAATGCACAAAATGTTGAACCTTGAGGCGGATGGGCTACAGCAGCACAGAACCACACTGGGTGCCACTCCTGTCAGCTAAGAACAGAAAACGGAGACTATAATTCACACAGGCTCACCAAAATTGGACAATAGACAAAAGGATACTACTAAGGTGTGCCTAATAAAGTGGCCGATGAGTGTATATGGCTATTAGAAGATATCAAGTAGCATTCCTACCATTAAAAGTGCATTTCATGTCGAATATGAAAAAGAACGCATAGTATCTAACTGAACTATTAAAAAATATATATATAATATCATTAACTTTTTGATTAACTCAACTTCTGATATAGAATGGATATATATATAATTATATTGGATAGTGACTATGTACTGTATGTCTGTGGGTGTCACCATTCAAAATGAAAGCTTTCATAATGTCTCATTTCTCATCATCATAAATTAAAAAAACAACGACGTATGACAGCTCAGCAGAATCCCAAAACATAAACCAAACATTGACCAATTTGAGGAGAGTTTACTCACACGTGACTTGTTTTAACCCTTTTAATCCACTTAGCAACTTTGCTGTGCAACAAAAAAAGCACCCAGAACAAAAAGCAACATTATAGCAATTTAAACCCCTGTTTCAGAACAAAACAATCGATTTGTAGGTGTGAAAGCACCCTAAAACTACCCTGACTGTGTTCGTCTGACAGAAGAAAGTCATATACACAAAGAGTGTCTTGATGGTTAGTAAAATTTGGGATAATTTTTAATACTGCATGAACTATTCCTGTAATCTGTGTGATAAATATGACAAACAACGCCCTCTTGTGGACGTTTTATAAGAAATGTGCTGTAAAATTTTTCAAAAGCATTGTATATCAGGTTATGACAAAATACAGCCAAAATCATGTGTACAAGCAGCCTTTGAGTTATCAACTTCCAATTGTAGACTTATCGGTCATCAGTGTCAGCCAAAAATGTTAATGTGCAATATTAGATTGAAAATAGACACCAAAAACCCCAAACACCAAAAATAAATCTTAATAATAGGTGTAAATAGCATGCTATGATAGGAAATCATGCACTAACATACATACATACACATAAACATATTCTAATGCAACTTCATTTGCACTATACATTATGCTTGATATGAGCTCAATACACAAAAGAAAAGCCTTGATGTATATTTCCCGTCCCTGTGACACTGGGTAGAGATTTGTTTTCGGCAGTTAGCCCTTTGAACAACCGCTGCATCGAAACAAGGAAAAGGTCATTAAACAAGATGTATTCTGTGTAAAAACGAGGGTATATCTTGACCTTAATTAAAGTAGATAAGGTCATGGAAAGAAAATATATTCATTTCCTCAAGGTTTTAGCTAGACTGGATGAAAATGAGGTACCCTGGGTAATTATAATACCAGCTACTCTCTCACTGTAAAAATTTATAATGCAGAGAGACACTATAGTGGGTATACATTTACAGAATAATACATGCAGAACAGATAAAGACAAAACTGCACTGATCTGAAATGACAAGTCATGGAAAACTTGGACAGCTACCAAAACAGCATAAGCTATATTAGATTAAGCGCTTGATAATACCGTAAGGTTCATTAAGTGCCTATAATTTTATATTATTTCATGTTGCTGAGA